TCCTGCGGTTTTGTTTCGAATCCTGCAGTTTTGTTACCTTTCTGGAAAAAACAGCAAACCCCAAGCCCTTATAGAAGCTTCACAAGCCCATAGAGGCCCTCCGACGGCCCAGCCTCAAACAAGTTTTGAGAGGGTTTAGGGTTTAGGGTGAATGTCTAGACATGCTGATCCACTGCGGCTTTACTACTCTGCATTCCAACAAGAGCGACATCTTTTCGTAAACGGTCCTTGTTGATACGGTTGATGATATAAATCCTGCATTACCCATAATAAGGAATATACCATAATTCCCATAGTGTAGGGTCCTTAAGGTAATGCAGGATTTATATCATCAACCGTAGTTTGATAGTTTGGACTTCTTCTTTTGGCATAGAAAGAGGCTCGAGGCCGCTTTAGGGGGGTTGAGAGGGGTTTTAGGGCTTTGAGGGCTCTAGAGTTTAGGATTCAGCGCTTTAGGATTTGGGGTGCTTGGAGGTCCAGGGTTAGTTATAAGTAGGGTAACTATACTTATAACCCAGATTTTGTTTTGGGGGGGATCTGGGTTTTGGGGGTTCGGGAGGGTTGAGGGTTTAGGGTTTAGGGGATTTTGGTTTACGGGTTTTGGAGGTTTCGGATTTTGGTTAAGCGGTTTTGGCTTTGTTTAGGTTTTTAGAGGTTGAGGGGCTTAGTTAGGGTTTAGGAATTTCAGGAACTGGGGTCTAGGGTTCCGGGTTTTGGGGTTTGCATGGAGTTTTGGGTTTGGCAAGTTAGGCTTCGCGCTTCAAGGCTCGTAGAATCTGGTATGGATGCTAGACGCCAAGCAAATGCCGCGAGAGTGTTTGCTCTTCGCTGGGGTCTCGTTAAGAAATTTAAGTTTAAGTTGCCACAATAAGGAATCAATAAGGATAAGGAAAGCATACTGTTTACTAAACTATAGACTCTTATAGATAGATCCCTATTATGGGCACGTAAGGTATGGTCCTCTCCAGGATCCGGTTACGAACGCCATAGTGGGCACATCCTGTTGAAACAGCCCTGGGCCCAAAAATCCTTAAATCTAAATCATCAACATCCCTACATCCTACACCGTAAGCCATCCAAGCCTCTAAGCCCTGAACCTTCGAACATCCCTACATCCTAATCCGTAACTCCTCTAAGCCCTAAACGCTGGAAACCTTCAACATCCCTACTTCCTAAACCCTAAGCCCTCTAAGCGTCCTAGCCCTATACCCTGAACATCCCTACATTCCTGACATGCCTACCCCTACACCTAAAGCCCTACACCCTAAACCCTAAACCTCGAACCCTAAGCCCTCTAAAACCCGTCCCCGAGGCTGCCATCTCCGGACACGCCGAGGTCGTCCGCGCACTGCAGAATGCCAGGAAGGGCTCATGAGCAGCCCTTCAAGCCTTAAACGGAGGCAGCCCGAATCACCCTAAGCCCTTAAACCCTAACCCCTGAACCCTCTTAAACTCCTTAAACCCTAAACAAGAAAACTAAACGCTAAACCCTGAAGCCCAGACTTGAAGCCTCAACTCCGGTTCCATTAAGGTCCCCGGTTGACCTTCTCGGGTTGAAGGTTGCCTTAACCTACCAGGATAGCCTGCTTTTGTAGGGTCCTGTACTCAAGATACAACCAAAATAGATCACCCTAAACCATAAACCCTTAAATCCGTAAACCCCTAAACCCCTAAACCCTTAAAACCCTAAGCCCTAAACCCTGATCTGACAAGTAGTTTCTGGTCGCTTAAGGTCGGCTCGAAGGGTAGACTTAGCTGATGAGTCCCACGCCCTAAACCCTAAACCCCTAAACCCCAAACCCTAAAATGAGTCTCACGCCTTCCTTTACAAGGTTCCTTTAAGGGCTCCTTTAAGGGCTCCTTTAAGGAATTGTTCAAGGCCGTGAATCCGTGCGGCGGTTTGGGTCTCAAAGGCTCAGGGCAGGCTTCTAAACCCTAAACCCTAAACCCTAAACCACTAAACCCTAAAGCCTGAATCCTAAACCCTAAACCTTAAACCCTGCATCCTAAACCCTAAACCCTAAACCGTAAACCACTAAACCCTAAAGCCTGAATCCTAAACCCTAAACCTTAAACCCTGAATCCTAAACCCTAAACCTTAAACCCTGAATCCTAAACCCTAAACCTTAAACCCTGAATCCTAAACCCTAAACCTTAAACCCTGAATCCTAAACCCTAAACCTTAAACCCTGCATCCTAAACCCTAAACCCTAAACCGTAAACCACTAAACCCTAAAGCCTGAATCCTAAACCCTAAACCTTAAACCCTGAATCCTAAACCCTAAACCTTAAACCCTGAATCCTAAACCCTAAACCTTAAACCCTGAATCCTAAACCCTAAACCTTAAACCCTGAATCCTAAACCCTAAACCTTAAACCCTGAATCCTAAACCCTAACCTTAAACCCTGAATCCTCCTAAAATCCTAAACCCTAAACCTTAAACCCTGAATCCTAAACCCTAAACCTTAAACCCTGAATCCTAAACCCTAAACCTTAAACCCTGAATCCTAAACCCTAAACCTTAAACCCTGAATCCTAAACCCTAAACCTAAACCCTAAACCCTAAACCCTAAACCCTAAAAACCCTAAACCCTAAACCCTAAACCCTAAACCCTAAACCCTAAACCCTAAACCCTAAACCCTAAACCCTAAACCCTAAACCCTAAACCGTAAACCACTAAACCCTAAAGCCTGAACCCTAAACCCTAAACCCCAAACCCTAAACCGGGGAGCCGAAGGGCTTTAGGGCCTTCAGAAGCGATAGTCTCCTTGGGACTTATTTTTTTTCATTTACAGGGAAGTCCAGAAAGTTGGGTTCCTTAAAAGGATCTATAGGGCTCCTTAAAGGGATCTATAGGGTTCCTTAAAGGGATCTTTAGGGTTTAGGGTTTACAGGGAACTCCAGAAAGTTGGAATATGGTTTCATGGTAGGATACCCTATAACTTACCATAGAAGGGTTAGGATAATCATATTCCAACTTTCTGGCTTTTACCTTATGTTCATATAAAACCCAGGAGAATATTAAGCATGTAAGTCTCATTATGGTTCTAAGGGGGGTATAGGGAGGGTTTGTAGGAATTGTAGTGGAGCTGTTGCATCCTTCATAACGGTTCTGTAGTGGTTAAAGGTCTAGGATGCTTTTTGTTTCCGTGTCAAGCGGCTGACAGGCGTAGGGTTCCAGGTTTAGGGGGGGTACGGAAAGGGTTCAAGAACCCTACCTCCCAAACCCTCAACCCTGAGCCCTAAACCCTGAACCCCATCCTAAACCCTCAACCTCAGCCCTAAACCCTCAGCCCTAAACCCTTAGCCCTAAACCCTAAACCCTAAGGCCTAAATCCCTAGCTCTACACCTCCACCCTAAATAAGGCCAAAACCTTAAGGCCCTAGATGAGGAAGTGCTGCAGCGCCAAAGTGCGTAAGCGGCTTCGGAGAGCCCCGAGCCCCTGAATTAAGGGATGGGCCTTGCTTCTGAAAGGGGGTCTATGCCGTATTAGGGTTTAGGGTTTAGGGTTTAGGGTTTAAGGTTTAGGGTTTAGGGTTTAGGGTCGATGGTTTCTATAGGAAGTGCTATAAGAGATATGGCCTTGCTTTGAAAGGGTCTATGGGTTTGTATATAGGGGGTGTTATCTGTGATATGGCGTCAATCCCCACTCATTCTATGGGTTTTGAAAGGGGCTTGTGTAAGGGATATACCTTAAACCCTATGATACTCCGCACATGCACGGTATTTTCATATTCAAGATTCCCTGTTTCAGGGGTACTGGGCTCTTGTTAAGAGACGTAATTTAAGCTACCATAATAGATACCTAGAGTAAATGAGATGGTTCCTTAGTATGGCAACATAAATCCCTTAACCCTAAACCCCTACACCCTAAACCCTACCAAAAGCCGGAATAACCTACCTTTTCAGGGTTCCTTATTATGATTTCCTTATATAGGTCAAAAGGTAGGTTATTCCGGCTTAAGGTAAACCCTTACATATAAGTCCTGAAAAAGGTAGGTTATTCCGGCTTAAGGTAAACCCTATGGCAACCTAAATCCTTTAACAGGAACCCAGGCGCTGGGCTCTCGGGGGCGGACTCCAAAGCTGGGTCCGTGAAAGCGAGCGTTGATTTGAGAGCGAAAAAGCGAATGCAGGGATGGGAGTTAGGATTAGGGGGACCCTCGGGGATATAGACCCTCTCAATAAGGTCCCTTTTAAGAGAGCCAGAAGTAGGGTCAGTGACATCCGAAATCCTGACCCGGTTTAAGGTTTACGGGTTTAGGGTTTAGGGTATCGCGGTTTAGGGTTTAGGGGTTTAGGGTTTAGGTTATCACGGTTTAGGGTTTAGGGGTTGAGGGGTTTAGGGTTTACGGGTTTACTGTAAATCAGGACCCCCCCCCCCAGAAACCCTAACACACCAAAAGCCCACCAGGACAGCCTTCAAAACTCACCTTCCTTCAAGCAAGCCGAATCATGCCGTTACACAGCCGAGTGATGACTACTTGTAGATTCTTGGACGTTTGTAGGGTTAGTGACTCCTATACCTCCCTAGACCCTGAATACCCGAAACCGTCAACCCCAAACCTTGAACCGAACATCTGAACCATAAACCGGCAGGAACCCCCATTCCCCAAAACCCCAAACCCCACCCCCCCAAACCTATATAACCCTACATGCCCCTACTCTTAGAATATAGGGACAACGCTGGGAGTAGGGTTTCGGTGTACATTATTACACTAAAATATTCAGGGTTTTGGAGTTTAAGTACAAGACCTTTTGGATGTAGGATGTATCCAGGCATTCGTCCATGCTCACGAAGTTCAGACCTAGACATAAGTTGGCATTAAACTCCAAACCCTGAAAACCTTAGGCGCTGAATCCGAAACCTTAACCCCCCCTTCAAACAAGCCCAACAGCCCTGCATAGTATGGTCTTTGGGCCCAAAAACCAAGAATATCAGCCCTTACAGCCTTTTGGGAAGTCCCATCGTGGCTTTCACCCTTCCCTTTTGTAAGGTGATACCAGACGTACAGCCCGGCTGAAGGCGTACTATGCGTACTTGCGATCCTTGTCTTAAGATGAGCCCGGGGGAAGGTTTTGGCTAAGTCTTTGGAAGCAGTTTCAAGATCAGCCGGGCGTTGTGTGCATCCGCCTGCATGAATGAGTGAGGGAGGGAGGAAGGGAGGGAGGGAGGGAGTGAGGGAGGATGAGAGACAAAACGTCTCTGTCTCGATCTCGTTCTTTCTGTGTGTTTCTGTGTATGTATGTCTTTATTGTAAGACATGCACAAATAAGTCTAAAACAGTTATATAAGTCGTATGCAAAAAATATGTAAGCATGCATACCGATAAACGTGCAAACAATATACAAATATGCAAATACACACGTAAGTTTATATGTGTAGCATATATATATACATGTATACAATATATACATATACACACATATATATATATATAATATATATATATATATATATATATATATATATATATATATATATATATATATATATACATATGTATATGTATACATGGACATGTGTAATATATACATATATATATATATACATACATACATATATCTTAGTTCGTCAGTCTGCCGGCCTTGTCTGAACAACTGTACACAAAAGGCATGGGACCAACATTGGTGTCCTCAGCACCTCTCATCTAAGAAATCTCCGTGTGGACAAGCATTCAACAACAGTCAGAAGCCCTTGAAGGTTTGGGCTCAAGGTTTACGGTTTGGGAGCCCTAAACCTAGACTGACTTTGAACCCTAAACCCAACTGCCTCGCCTGAAACCTAAATCCTAAACCCTAAGCCCTAAGCCCTACTACCCTAAACCTCAAGTTGGAAACGGGTTTACCCACAGGCCCCAGCAGCTCCTTTTTGGGGGTTCATATGTAGAACCCTATAAGGTAATCCCAAAAAGGAACTACATATGGGGCCTATGGGTAGAGTTTCGAGCTCAAGGGGTGGTCCCCGCAAGCAGCTCTCCTTACCAAGGAGAGCAGGACGCGATTGAGGCGGAGCAAGCTGAACTCGAGGTGCTGCCTCGGTAGTGGGTAGGGGTTTAGTTTAGAGGTACTTGGAGGGTCGGGGGACTTAGTAAGTAGGTATTTTAGGGACTTATAGGTACCATAACCCCAATTAGGGTCCCGTTTAGGGTACTTATAAGTCTACTTACTACCTACTGTAGCGGGTAGGGGTTTACCAGGACCCTCCTTGTACCCTCACATAGGTGTATATGGTCCCAAATAAGGGGCATTTAGGATCTAATCAAGGGTAGATGGAGGGTCTAGGTAGTTTAGATGTCAGGGTTTAGGGCCTTTTGGCGGGTTACCATTTTCTGGTGGAGGCCTTAAACCAGATGCTCAGATTGCCCTTAGTTTAGCAGCTAGGCTAATGGGACGTCTACAGAGGCCCTTGAACAAAGCTTTCGCTTCCTTGTAAGTTTGGGCTTGAAGCTTGTTCGAGGTTTAGAAGGTTAGCTTGCGTTATTTCTATACACTAAACCCCAAACCCTTAAGCCCTAAACCGTAGAACCGCAAACCAAGGCTCTGGACTCCTGGACCTCAAACCCTACAGCCGCCCCGGACCCTCCGTCCGAAGCCCGAAATCCCAAACCCTAAACCCTAAAATCCCCAAATCCCTAAACCTAAACCCCAAAGCCCCAGACCCTAAGCCCCAAATCCTAACACGAAAACTCCGCCATGTGGACAGGCCATCCAGAAGGAACTCGAGACTTTAGCCGAGGATCGTAGAAACGTCTCCTGCCGGGAGGCGGAGTTCGACCAGGTGTTTCTCTGGAGTAGGGCTTAGGGTTTGGGTTGAGGTTTTAGGGTAGGGTTGAGGGTTTAGGGTTTAGGGTTTTGGGGTTTGGGGATTGGGGTTTAGGGTTTAGGGTTTAGGAATGCCGCAGAGGGCATGGGGTGCGGAGCAGAAAGAGTGGGTGGGGTGGAGCAGCGGTGTACGGTGTACCGAATGCAATTCCGCGGGAACTCGCTTCAAGGCTGCGAAGGAGCGGAATCGCCGTCAGCATGCCGCTAACGGCAACATTCCGTGCGGGGCCCGGTAATATGTGCCATAGCAGAGGTGTCTGAATGATGCGTCACCGCTTTCTGCGTGGCTGGGCCCGCGTTGGGGGGGTGTGCACGCGGCCCTGGGGCTCCGCTGCATGAGTCAGAAGAGATCCATATACATATACATATATATATATATATATATATATATGCCGCATCGCGATTGCCTCTGCTCTACATCGCGGGGCACTGGATGAGCTGTCCCTCCACGCCCTGGACTTGCTCCTGCACCGTTGGCAGCCGGCGGTATACGGGACGGGGCCTTGATGAAAAGTATAAAAGTTCTCCGAACAGGCATGGTTTTGCTGTTCGCTGCCTAGACCCTCCATCTACCCTCTATTATACACCCTAAATGCCCCTTATTTGGGACCATATACCCCTATTTGAGGGTACAAGGAGGGTCCTGGTGGTTTCAATTCTTTCTGGCCGGGCGCTGGCATACGCCCGAGGGCACACGCAAGTGTGCCCGGGTCTCGCGGGAAGAACCGTGAAGCGGTGCAATGTGTGGTTTGAGGAGGGCTCCGCCACTGAAGCCTCCGAGTGCGAAGACGTGGTTGTCCGACACGCGCGCCGTCCGAACGTTGTGGTGGTTGCGCTGCGTGTTCCATGGGACGAGGGTCCGGCACTGCCACCAGCTGACAATGCCGCCGCGGCACCTGAAGCCAGGCGCCCATTGCGCACGACGGCCGCGATGGTTGAGGGCCGGCAGCGGTCGTAGCAATGGACCCTCAAGATGTCATTTGCGCGATTTAGGATGCTGTGTTTTAGCGTGGACGATCTAGGGTTTTCCACCCTAAGCCCTACGCCCTACACCCTAAACCCTAAACCCCTAAACCCCTAGCCGTAGCGAGGAAAACTTCAGGCCTTAAGCCGTGTAGCTTGCCATGCATCCAGGGTTTCGGGAGTTCAGGATTTGGGGATGGGATTTCGGGGTTTTGTTTTGGAGCTTTGGGGTTTGGGGTTGGGGATTTAGGTTTAGGGTTCGGGTTTAACGGTTCAGAGCCCAGAGCCCTTGAAACCTTGTTGAAGTCTGGAGGCTGTTGCCCCCAACATTGGCAAATACGGCAAGAGCGTTTGAAATCTTCGGGGCCCGAAGCCTGAAAGATTAGGGTTTAGGGTTTAGGGGTATCAGAAACTTGCGAAGCAACGACACACTGCACAACAAACGATAGCACGAACCCTTATGCAAGAAGCGGAACACAACCCTGAGCAACCCTTAAGGAGCCCCATGGAAGCGCAAGGAACCCTAACAAACCGTAAAGAACCCTTAGGAATCCGAAGGTTTCAGATCAGCAATCCCTTAGCAGAATGCTTGACATTTCGACCTCGAGATTCTGTCGTAGCTGCCCACTCTTCCGCACGATCAACTGCATGTGTGCCCAAGCTTAAGTGCATGTAAACAACAGATATGTGCTGGACGGGTAGCTTTCGCAGAAACAGCATGGTGACCTGCTAGCATCTGGATTGTTGACAAAGCCTTGAGACCACAACATGCATCTGTCAGCCCACTTTTGACTGCTGCGGCCTTTGCCAGACAGACTGCCCTGCCCTCGATTGTCGCTGCCATATTTCTGGTCGTCGTCGTTTACACACACGTATGTTTCAGCGTGAATATAAACATAAGTATGCACGAATACAAATATGTATAGACAAAATTATGGATAAGTACATACCCCCACGTGTTAAAAGGAGACCTCTCCTTTAAGCTCACCTGACGATGGCACCGATACACCCTACAGGGCCCCACAGTTTAAACCCATAACTGCCAAGCCGTACACTCCATGTAGTGGGATGAGCACTATATAACCCCGACGTTCAAAATTGTGTCAAGCCTTATATGGTATGGTGTTTAGATCCAAAAGCCTCAGCATACGAGTGCTTACAGCCCTACATCCTTGAGGAGCGTTAAGCCCGACTTATAAAACCAGCCCCTAAAAGCTTTCAAACCCCGAAGCCCTCATGCTGAAAAACCTTAAGAACCTCCAAGCCCTAAACCCTAAACCCTAAACCCTAAACCGTTTAGGGTTTAGGGTTTAGGGTTTAGGGTCCAAGCCCAAACTCCAGAAAGGGACCAAAATATTCCAAACCCAAAAGCACCCCAAACTCTGAACCTGAAACCCCAAGCCCTAATTAGACCCTAAACTCCAAGGGTAATCGGAGGGACCCTTAATAAGGACCCCGAGGTATATACCCTTAATATAGCTATTATATACCCATCATATAGCCCATTATATCCTAAACCCTAAACTCTCAACATAGCCCCTTACGGTAGTCCTTATAGACCCCTTTAAAGGAGCCCTCTTCCCTATGGGTAGGGGTCCCCATTAAAGGGTATTGTAGAAGCCAGAAAGTTGGAACATCATTATCCTCATGGCTTTAATGTAAAGTATAAGGGATCCTAGCACTAATCCTCCAAAAGCCATGTTCCAAATTTCTGGCTTCTACTGTAGGGCGAACCCCCCACAGTGCCAAGCCTTTCGGAGAGGCACAGCTTCGGAAGCTACTCGAAGCCAAGGACGGGGGGTGGGTCTTAGGGCTTCGGGTTCAGCTAGGATGCCCAGTAGTAAGTACCCTTATTCCCTTATTGTAGTCCTGGGTTCCTTACAAAGTTACCCAATACCAAAAAGAGAGGCCTTTTTATTCTTAGGTTACTGGGTATCCTAGAAACCCTAAACTCTTTAAAGGAACCCCTTAAAGGAACCTTATTCTAGTACCCTTTAAAGGGTATCCTAGTATTCTTAGGTTACTGGTTATCCTAGTCAGGGTTAGGGCACAAAGACGAGGGCTGAGGGCCTTTCTGCGTTTAGGGGTTTAGGGCTGGGTTTTTCAGGGCTTAGGGTTTAATTCTCGCTTTTTTTTTGTGGGGATGGTCGGACTCGTTGAGTGCACTCATCAGGCATGCATGTCCTCAGTGGATGCATTGCATCCATTCCTCAGGGAGCCCATCCAGGGCTGCGAGCAGCTCTTCTGGGGGTCCTATGGTATTGGGACAGAGGATAAAGCGATCTGCACAAAAGTACGCTGTCCAATGCCCGTTACCAACAGTGACGGCGCTTTGCGCTCGTCCAAAATTTGCAATCCGTGCCAAAACCAGCACAAGATCGCGGAACTTAGCAGGTTCCTGGAGCACAATAACCGGCAGATCCTCGCAGTCTAGATCTTCGAAAGCACGGGTTTGGAGGATTGCATTTACTGCGCTAGGTAGGTCCGTAGGCTTGCGGTGGAAGCACTGCATGAGCCGCTCGAGAGGGGCTCGCCACGGTGTTCGTGGAACCGGGGCAGTAGGCACCGTAGGTGGTGGGTCCATGGTGGCCCACCAGGGGCGCGGTCCGTGGACTTTGGCGGCTGGCTGCCATGCCCGGGCCGGGCCAGTCACGCAGATAGACTGAGTGATGTCGGCCTCTTCATAGGTCCGCAGGCAACGCGCAGCTTTTTTAAGATGCTGGCGCAATCTCGCCGTCGTCCAGAATTCGGTGCCGCAGCTCTGACACATGCTGCCGTCGGCAACTGTAGTGGCACGGGCCGGCAGCCCATGTACCTTGCGCTGGTGTGCCGCACAGGCCGCCGTGGAGCTAAAGCTCTGCGCGCAGGAGGGGCACGCAAAAGTTGGCGCGCTGCCAGCGGTGCATCCGGGAAGTCGCCCAAAGATGCAACCCGCTGCTTGTGCTGCTTGCAAGGCACGGAGTTGCTTTTGTCGCGCAGGCTTGAGAAGTAGGCGGCATTTTTTGCAATGGCGGAGGTAGCGCCGGATGAGGATCTTTGCGGTGTCAGGTTGAGCCCGGAGGTCCCCTCGCAGGCTTTCCCCACTCTGACCAAGTGCGGCTCCGACCGCGTCAAAAGCCTGTTGTAGGTCAGAGTGCCACACATGATCTCGAAACCAGAGATTGCTCAGGGCAGCGTTGTCCTCAGCATATATCCAAGCTGCCAGGCGTAGCATTTCCGCCCATCGCATCTCCTCCGCCGTAGCTAAGCCGAGCAGTGTCGCGACATCCAAATTGGAGAGGCCCTTGACCGACATGCCCGTAGCAGCTCTGAAGAGACGTCGCGGTGCCTCGTAGTAGGCCGCAACAAATTGGTCCCTTTCTTGGCGAGTCTCCAGCGACCACATGCCAGCACCGTGCTTGTATCTGGCCATGGGCATGGACTGGAGCAAATGTATTCGCTCGGTCTCAGTGAGCTCGGAGTTGCGAAACAATTTGCCTAGTGGACCGGTCATTTCTCTGGCCAAGGAGGCCCGTCTCTTCATGTCAGAGAGATCTGAGACGCCGACCTCTATGCGAGAGCCTAGGTGGACGTAGGCATCGGTGAGGCCAACCTGGATGCAGGTGCCATCTGGCAAGTCCACCCTCAGGGAAGCACCACTCTCGCAGATCCATGTACGCTTGGCCGCATTGCTGCGTGGCCCTCGGAACATCGGCACGATTTCCGTCTTCCCCGGATCAAGATTGAGCTCGATACCGAGGGCTCGGAGCTCCTTGACAAGTTCCCGGACCGCAAAGATCGCAGTATCGATCAAATGGTCTGGATTTGGGGACGCCAGGGGAATGGTCAAATCGTCGACCCAGCTTGGGAACGGAACTGCAAGTAGGGCATCCAGGTTTGCCTGGTTTTTGGCACGAGCTCCTATATCTCTGCAGACCTCCTGAACCTTCTCCTCAAGCCTCGTCATGGCTCCCGCAAAGAGGATTTGAAACTCAATGTCTGCAATGGGGCTGCCAGGGGCCGTTCCGGTGCGGGTGCTGAAGAAGTGGGTTTTACCCTGGCCTGCTATGCTAAACCACGTCCCTTGTAGCATAGCTGAAAGGACTCTGCGTACGGGAGCTGGAACTCCCTGTTGCTGGAGGAGTCCAGGGCCGATCGTGGAAGCTATGAAGGCAAGGCGATCCTCCTGGCTGTCGTAGAGATCTTCAGCAAGACGCTGGAGGAAGTCAGCTGTGTCGCCACCTTCCTGGCCCAAAAGCGCCTGCCGTGCCGTGGCATAAAATGCTGCTCGGCAATCCACAAAAAGCAGAGCACAGTTGACCCCAGCGTCCCTGGCCAGGCGGGCAAAGCCTTTGGCTAAAGCCATGGGAATGTGAAGTGGATTTTTGGGACGCCCTCCGCACTGGCCTGCCGACCTGAGGCCCTCAAGGCATTGCACCAAGGGTGCGTGCAGCGCCTTGCAGACGCCCTTCATCGACGCCTCATGTAAAATGATGCTCCTCCACCCTGCCAAGTCACTGGGGCACTTGGAGGGCTTTGGTATGGGCACTGCTCTGCCACCGCGCCACAAGGCCGGTGCCTTGCCGGTGGCCTGTGCCTTGAGCAGCACGGGGTAGTGAGCTGCGGCCGCTCCGAGTGCGTCGCCGCTGAGAGCCTCCGGTGGTATGCCTGAGATTCCAGCGGCACGCCGGGACTGCAGTCGGCCGTATCCATGTGCAAGGGCCGATAAGGTGAGTTCACGGCTTGCTTCTAGGAATGCCTCTGGCGCTGGGACCGGCTGAGTGTGAATGTCCGCAGCGCTGCACTCAAGGGCACGTTCAGCTCTCGCAAAGTTTCTCCCCAGCATGAGGTAGGGATCGTTCTGATGCGCCTCGGCGCCTTCAATGCAAGGGCATAGCGCCGGAGGTCGATATCTGCGTCCCTGGCGGAGCACATTGCGGAATGCCTGGTAGAGCTGCTCTGGCCCCTGGGCCCTGGCATCCTTGATGAGTTGCCGCGCCGCAGCGGTCGCATCCTCACGGGTCCTGTGCCGGATGATGGCGGAGATGTCACGGAGCTGGGTGACAAGCAGAGCCTCGTGCATACAGGCTAAACTATCATCTGCTGGCGTCGTGTTACGCGCCCAGGCAGCAAAAGTAGCGGCAAGAAGGCGCTGGCGGCGCTGAGAAGCACAGGCATGCAGCTCTCTGCGCACAGCGCGACGGTCACACACGAGCTGCCAGGTGGCTTCTTGGATAACCGGGGACCGGGGCCCTTGTGGCTGAGCAGGGAAGGCTCGCAGAAGGGCTTCCATGAGGTATTCATTGAGGCACCTAAGATGGTGGTCCACCGGGAGGTCCCATGGGAGGTGAGGAAGGCGGTCGTAGATTTGCCGAAGTTTTGCCCGCCCAGAAGGCGTGAGCATGGCTTTGGTATCAAGCCTTGGCCGCGCTCGTCTTCGCCTCACCTGCCTGCAGAAGGAAATTCTGGCGAGCACAGGGCGATGGTCAAGGTCATTTTGCCCATGAAAGTCGGCGAGACAGCCTAGCACCTCAAGGCCTTGTTGCAGAGAATCAGGGCAGGCAATGTAGTCCAGGCATTTAGGCCGCTGGAGGGGGCCAAGCCAGCTCTCAATCTTGCTGCCGTCTGACATCGAGTTGGCCGTCGCTACGAGTTGCTGCTCATGGAGAAGCGCTGCGAAGGTCTCTGCATTATGATTGAGTGCTGTGGCAGGTCCCGGTGCTGCTGGGCTCCAGGTGAAGTGAGCGTTTGCGTCCACCATCAAAATAGGGCAGTGGTTGGCAGGGGCTCTCCGAAAGGCCGACTGGAGTTCAGCCCACCAGTCTTTGCATTCTTGTTTTGAAGCTTTTGATGTGGGCGCATGAGCAGTGATAAGAGCGAAGCAAAGGGAGGCGGCCCGGGCCGTAGCCACTAGAATTCTGGGAGTAGCCCAAACTATGGCAAAGGTGCCCGGATCCCAGTAAATCGCGCCTTTTTTGTCGTACCCCACTGGCTCAGTTTTTGACAGCCACAGCTGACAGCCGTCAGCTCCTGCGTGAGCGGGGCTTGCAAGCACGTGGAAGTGGGCTGTGGAGCTCCTTCCAGTATTCTCTGCCCGAGTTTCCTGGATGCCGATGAGGCAGAGGCCAGCTGCAGCAAACTGGGCATCCAAGCTTTCCCTTTGCAGAATGGACGCCAATGTTAGACTGTTGTATGTTGCCACCTTGAGGCTGACTTTGGCGGACTGCTGCGGAAGCTCGTCAACAAAATCGTAACCGTGTCCCAAATGGGTCAGTGGGGCTTCGGCGGCACTGGTGGATGCAAGGACACCATCTGCTCCTACATAAGGAAGGTCCCGGCACATGTTAGATGCAAAAGCTAGCCATGGCAGCACATCCTGTCTGCTGGCAGTGACAAGATTGTAGGGCACCATGGAAGTGTCCAGGCTGCGCGCGTAGTGCTTTGCTATGCAATCTGCGAGTTCGTTGAAAACGTGGCCAGTATGCGAGGGAATGTGCAGCTTGGAAGGCATCCTTCGCTGAACCCTCAACAGGTGGGCGATTGCCATGCCAGCATGGGCGAGTGCAGTGGGGACGGCCTGTGTTGCCTCGCCTGTGGCGATCTGCATCGCTGACTCATTGTCAAACCCGATCATGGCCGGTGTGGCGGACTGCCAAACAAAGGCCAAAGCAACGACAGCCGCAGTTAGCTCGGGTTCAAATGAGGAGCGGACTGCCGTGTCAAAAGTGGCTGCCGATCCTGCGATTGGTGCATTTGCAGCGCAGTATCCTACCCATCGCCATTGGTCTTGTTGCAAGCCAACAACGCACACGG